AGATTCAGTTCTGCAAAGGAGAACTTTTAGAGAAGACAGAATAAACATCTATACAGCTAAAATATATGACGTTTATTGACATTTTATGTGGCTCATTTAGAACTAAGAACTTAGAATCCGGAAGTTAAAGCTCTTTAAAGTATCAATAAATTTTACATCTTGCTTTTGAGCAATCAAGACTCACAAAAGATTCACAAGTATGTATTTCTTAAGGTGTTTTTTACAAACATCAATAAAATGGATGGCTGCTGTAGTAAAAGACTTATTCTATAAAAGTAGAGGTGTCACTGACTTTAAAATCATTCCTTAGATGCAGATATATTTCAATGAAGAGACAAGCAGGAAAACTAACAAAATTTAAGAGTTGATAAAACTTGTATGGAACTTTTTAATGCTGTTTGTCTCTTAAATAATTAAAAAGACAATGTTGACAGGAAGTTTTTTAAAATACTGTTTTCTGTGTAGTCAGAATTTTTTTAGCCCCAGTCATACTTTTCAGAATAAGTATTATTTACAGTTTCTTACTGAAATTGCTTGTCCAGAGTATTTGAGATAATTAAGGGTGTATAAATGTGTATATATGTACATACATACACACTCACAAGTCATGGAGTTCCTTACTGTTTTATTACTAAAGCCCACTATTGAGCAGCCGTAGTCTTTTAAACCTGAAAAATCTGTGTGGTGACAGACACAGAAACCTAACTGAGCCACTCTTCACCTTCTGGAGCACACAGCATTAGAATGCGCAACTCCAAAAGCAAAGCTATCATTTTCTAAGTTTTGATAGATACAAAATATTTTGTAAGAGCCAAAAAATGCTTTGAAGACCAGAAAGCTCATGGTTCATTTTAAAATTTCTGTATGTATTAGAAGTATTGACACGAAGTGGTACTTGTTTCCTAAAGAGAATAATACTGTTCACATTTCAGTCAGATGTCAAAATATTTCATTTGTAAGTGTTGAAAATAGGTAAATGAAAGGTAGTATTTTTTAAAAAATAAACTAGTATTTAAAAATTAGAGAGCTGTGATCATTTGCTTCTGTTCTGAAAATTATTCTTTTTAATCTCGTCTTTGAAGTAAGTACTTGAATTAAAAAGAAACATGACTTCCTCATATATTCTGTACTTCTGTATATTGGTAGGATTACAAGAAGAGTGAAAGTGTAATGAAAGAGTTTGCCAGTTTCTGAGGTGACTTTTTTCTCTAGTATGTTTTTCCTTTAATTTCTTCACATTTACCTTTGAAATCATTACATTTATTTGTGAATGGAAAATGTTTTCAAAGAGAAAAAGAATGCTGTTTTGAAAAAATATGTATAGTTTATGCTGTTAAAACTGACAATATTTTCCTATGAAGAAATATTCTGATTAGAAAATTGCCATTGTCTTTGAAATTTTTGGGTAGAGTAGAACTGTGGTTGAAAAAAACTAGCTCATATGCCAGCTATATTTATTTGGATAAGCTTAGTTTTTTCACTTTGAAAATTTATTTTCAGCTGGAAAAAATGTTTTAAATTATAGTCATTTAATAAAAATTGCTTCTAGCAAGCAAAAAAAGTCTGTGGAAAACCCATAATTTAGACAAGTACCTACATTTTATTTGCTCTGTGCTGCCGAGATTTAGAATCCCTTCCCATTTACAGTTTACTTTTCACAGAACATTATTAACTTTTTGGCTTCATATATGATCTTCTGTCAGATGCTTTTGATTTGTAATTTAGCGAAGTATAATAAACAGTGCAAAAGTCATGAATTTTCCTCCGCATCCTGAGCTCTGTGGTAGGGAAAATGTGATAAAATGTGTACCTTAAGTCTTGTTTGGTGATCTCTCAAAGCAAGTTTGCCTTCTGGAAATAATTTCTGGGGTTGAAGAGCATGGTATTAACAGATTTAATGTGGCTATTCAGTGGATTGGTGGAGTACTATGTGAGGTTTAACAAAATGAGAGAGACAAATTGAACATCAACAAAACCTACATCTGTGAAGAATTATAAATTTAATTAGTAAAAAAGGCAAACTTAAAATACCTCATTAAGTAATCAGAATTTGATGTTACTGGTTTAAGATTCTTAAATGGGTGAATTTTAAGTAGCTGTGATATCATTGTCCTTTCTTTTCCTTGTCATATATAATACAGTCCCAGAATCTGTGGTCCATGTTAAAGATGAAGAGGTGAAAGTTACTTAAAATAATTAAATTATAAATAGTAATAACTTGTGATGCATTTTGAAGAATCTATATGTCATTTATCATTTTAGGCAATTTTAGTCTAATCAGGATGCAGAGTATAAGTGAGCGACAGCAAAAAAAACCCTTTCATTGTGTATTTTTTTTATGTGCCCCCTTGAATGGACTCTTAAGGCCAAAACATTTTTTCCCTTTGCTTAAAGGAGAAATTTGTTTAATTATTGAGCTACTAGAATGTATTTTAAAACTTCATTTATCTAGAAGCCTCATGGCAAAGGTGGGCAATCATATAAGAGTGAGCCAGCGCCACCCAGAAATGTGTTTTTCTCCCTCGTCATCATAAGTTTGTTTCTTTACTACATTGTAATTTTGTACCACACATAAAAAACTGAAAGCATGTGAAGTGTAGCATTTTGTAAACTGTAACTAATTTCACTCACATCTGTGTCTAATTGTTGTCTGCATTCGCATTCTTGAGAGTAGATTTATTTTTCCTGGACCACTGTGTGGATTCAGCTGACCAGCCTAAGTGAGGATTAGTTGTTTTAAAGTTATTTTGATTAAAGAGCCATTTTTAAATATGGTAACGAACAACACATGGTTTAAATAATCCTTGAGACACAAAGGAATATATCTGAAGTATGCCTAATGAAAATGAAGATCCTGGATATGAACTTTATGATTTGTGAGAGTGTAAAAGGACATATAAGGTATATATTTAATTTTCTAGGCTACATCTAGTTGAAAAACATACAGGCAAGTTGTTCTTTCCCCACACTAACTGAATCAAAGTTTTGTTGTTTTTTTTTTAATAAAAACTATTATTTTGTGAGTAACTACATTTTTGTTAATTTTTATTTTGGAATTAAAATTGTTAGGATAAAATGCATTTCAGAAGTTGATAAAGTAATAATAATATTAAAAATATACTTTGGAGACTATGCCATTTAGTTTTTATATATATATATATATATATATATATATATCTTTTAAAAAGAAAATATTTTTTCTTTTGTTCATCTGAGACGTATTTTAAATGACCTTCCACATTACTAAGCAGAGATAGTTCTTAAAACAAAGTTAGTTCTCACCTATAATTTATTCCAGGTGTATAGAAGTACCAGTAGAGGAACATATCCTTAAGGCATTCTGCTGCAGTTTCTGGGGTTAAGAGTAAAAAAGTTTCCATCTTACATCTGACTATTTTTCTTTTTCTTACTTTAAAAAAAAAAAGTATGGTGTAGCTGCTGCAAACACACAGCTGATATTTCAGTTTGATTTGGCTTGGTAAAAAGCATTGAAAAGCACGCTATGCAATACTTTAAATACACAGTTATAAAAAGATTGAAGTTTTTCTGTATGCATTATTGCATGCTTCTTGACATCACTTGTAAAGTTATACGTTGCCTGGCTACCTCTAGCAGTAGTTTACTCTTGCTGAAGTAGTAATTCTGTCTGTGATTAAAAATAACAAAAACTACACACACATAAAGTGAGATTTGCTTGGATGATTTTTATGGCACTTAAAATGCCTCATCTCTCTTGTTTCTTTGTTCTGTGATCATCTAAGAGATGTCAGTTCAGGTTGAATGGAAATGCACATGAAAGATTCTGAATGTAGGCATTTAGACATTGTATACCTTTGCTGGAGAAGTTTGTTTCTGCATTCAAGCCAACAGCCTATCTTCACCTGCGAGTTATCACCTGCTGGTAATTGTGACTGGTTTTAGAGAAAAGTTTACTATCTAAGGCAATCCATTAAGTGATGTCCAGCAGAATCCACATTCATAAAGTTTTTCTGATCACATCAGATGAAAATATACTAGTCAGCTGGGGTTTGGAAATGATTGTTTTTACTAAACTGGGAAGACTGCTAATTGGTTTCCACTGTAAAATCCAAGCTCCCTTCTGAATCTCAGGATGACCAAAAGCAAATAGTGGGAGGTTCACGCCAGTTACATTTTTAACAAGAGAACTATAGAGTCTTTTCAAGTTTGACAGGTTTCACAAGTACTCCTTTTCTTTTTTCAAGTTTGGTATCTGAAATTCTTACAGATAGTTAGAAACTTTACAAATAGAACTCTGTCATGCAGAAGTGTGTTTTCTTCTGCATTTTAATCTGTTTTATTTTGCAATATGGTGACATCTTTTAGAAAACTAATTGGCACTGTTTAGAGATGGACATGGTTTTCAGATAGTTGCACCAAGTTGTTGGTCATAAATGATTTTCAGCTCTACGTAGCAGATGTACTTCCCATTTTAAGAAAATATCTGATCTAATGAATGTTAAATGACAGACAGATGAGGAAGAAAACCAACATGATAAGGTTAAGAAACTGTTGAGTTAAAGAGTGGGAGGGAGATATATTTCAACCAGTGATAACAAAAGATGAAAGATCTTCTGAGGATGCTGAGTTTTTACTGCTTGAGCTACTTCTGTACAACATGTTCCCTGCATTAACACCTACCTTTTTCCAGACACCTCTTTCTAGCTACCTTAGCAAGGCTGCTTTGCATGTTGATTGGGGGAGGGGTAATCCAGTTTGCAGCTGTCATAGGCCGGTGATGAATCACTATCCCGTCATTTGGCTGCCTTCCCCCTGACATGGGGAGGAGGGGGATAGACCTGCAGGAGGAAACAACAGTTGAGACTTCAATTTAAAGACAATATGCCTTTCACTGTTGCAGTATTCTCCTTTTCTTTTGGTTAAAGGACAGTATTGTCATCCGCAGTAATATCCTTGTTTAGATTAAGGTTTGATGTTAAAGCAGACTAATAAAGGCTTCTATTTGTTTCCTGGGTTTGCAGGTGCAAAAATCCCAAAGCAGTTCAGATGTTGCTGTTTTCTAAAGCTGCAGGTAAGGATATGATTGATATTTGGCCTCTCTATGGAAAGTACTGCTTAGAAGCACGGTTGTTTACTTCAGGTAAAAGTAAACTTTTATTATTATTTTCCACTTTAAACTGAATAATAGTACATCAATGCTTGGAGATTTCTGATGTGAATAAATACAGTAAAGTCTGTAAGCTATGAATAAATTCAGTTCTGCACTAAAATATTTTTCATTTAAATGGTAGAGAATCTCTTGCTTCTTGAAAACAAAACAAAAACCACCGTAGAACTGTAGCTGGGCTTTCAAAATGTGTGGCTGTGCTTTGCTAGGGGGAGTTAAGGTGAAACAATGCATTCAAGGCTGCCGCAATATAATCTCATTGTAGACATGAAAAATCATATGGGTAAAACAACATTTGTGTTTAAGACTATTTACACTTCCACTATGGAAGGAAAAAGAGAAGTTTTTTTGGTTTTTAAATAAATACTAAAAAGTGCCTTCAGTATATAATTTTTTAAAGTGGAAACAGTCCCAGGTTCATATGCATGCGTAGAAAAGTAAACTATACGAATTTTCTATCAGGAGAGACTATTTAGAAAAAGTTGAGTCATTAGCATTTATCATAAGATTTTGGAACAATGGAAACTAAAGCAATGTATACTTTGTTTACAAACTTAACAAATGCAAGCTGAGAAAATTGTAACTGTGATCATGGCCAGAGGCCTGTTTTCCTTTTTATGAAACTGTTAATTGTTGAATTGAAGATATTTCTGTGGAATTTAGCTGTTTGTCTACTGCATAAATGTTGATTTTTGTTTGTTTGTTTGTTTTTTGCATTGAATCTGAATTGTTTTTGTTTCATTTTGACTAACTGACAGCTGCGGTACTGCAGAGTATTAAGGCATACTGACGCCTGTATGGATTCACTGTAGGTTGCCTTATCCCTTTTCAATTGGGCACACTTTATGTAATCCACAGAGCAAACAAGGGAGCAGACATAATAGTGTTTTAATGCTGCATTTGTTTCAACGGAAACAGAGGAACAATTAAGTAGTTTGCCAGAGTAAACACATACATCAAGAATATCTCATTCCCTGTCACTAGACTATAGGTTTCAACAATTGCTTCAAGTGTTTTATTTGGTTTGGAGGCCCATTAAATTCCAATTGGGTGGTAAATTTTGAGAAAGCACAGTGTTATCTTATTGCTAAGGGAATGGTTTTTTTTATACATTGATGAAACTGCCCATTACACATAATTTAAAAAGTGTAAGGTGATAGGAATCTCCTAGATATAGTTTCCTATATTTATATTTTATTGTGTTAAGGGTTACAATATTAGAGATGACTGTTTCTCATGAGTTGAATATATGGAGTGACAACGCAAGAGTTAACACTTTTATGATGAGAAAAAAAGATTGTGTTATGGAAAACTATTGATTATTTACAAAGTATTTTATAATCGAGTAGAAATAATGGATTAGATGTATGGACAAATCCTCCATAATTAAAGTTGAACGTATCCGTAAAATTGTCTGCTTCTTGATTTTAGGTCTATGGAAATGCAGGATCTAGCCAGCCCGCATAGCCGACTGAGTGGTAGTAGTGAATCCCCCAATGGTCCAAAACTTGATAACTCTCATATAAATAATAATTCCATGACACCCAATGGCACAGAAGGTGAGCTACCATTTTCTCTGAATATGCTTCGTATGTTGCTCTTTTTCAAGAGATTGTTCCATCAATCTTTAAGTCAGTAAATTATATATATATAAAATTGTACTATTGTAGGTGATCTATCTTTGTGTAATATGATGTATAAAGACTATGGTCAATGTTTGTCAGTACTTAATATTATTGGCTTTCAGCAATAGCTCTCAAGCCATGTTTATATTCTCTTTACATATTTTCAATGCATTTGAGTGGTATTATGTTGCTTAAAATAGTTGAAATCCATCAACAAAATAATTTTGCATTTTAGTGTTGAGAAGAACAGGAAATATCTACAGTTAGTTTCTATAAAAGGTATATTATAAGCAGGCATTGCCATTTCTCTATTTTAATTTTGGATTTGCATTTTGTGTAAATTACTAAGTTTATGAAAGCTTTGCCATGTAGGCAAATACAAAGCTGTCCTTAAAAATTATGTGTTGATATTTCCTAAAGATAATTTGATAGGCTGTATTCAGCTTCTGCTCTTATGATGGATTGTCCAAAATTCAAATAGTTATAATAATTCAGTGAAGGTAAAATATGATACATATTTTTCATGTTTTGATGAGAAGAGGAGAAATAGCAGAAACAAAATGCAATTGACTTATCAACTGGCTATATTTGTTCTCAGTATAATACGAAGAATACCTCAACACATCTCCCCTACAAATAATGCCTCTGTAAAAATGTAGTCCTTTCAGGTAATTGTGGAAAGCAGTCTTTACTACAACCCTGCAGCAAAAGAAAATAAAAGATCATGAGTTTCTAATGTATTCACAAATCTGAAACTTAGAATCACATTTTTTTATAAAACAGATTTTTATAGCATACATTTGAGTATTACATGTAGTAAAGACGTACTGTGTGTTAAAAGCCAACATATAAATAATGAGCCAAACTGTTTTAGATACAGTATGCATTGCGTTCTTCCAGGAAAGACATCTGTCAATCAGATAAATGTTGTCTCCCCTGAGCTCCGTAGACATCTCTGTTATCCACTCTAATTGGAGTCGACTGTTGTTTGGGATGGCTTATCAAAAGCTGACAGTCAGTTGTGCTGGAGTTTGTGTATAATTTACTTTATGCTATTGCTACAAAATAAGTTTTGTAAGATTAAACTTTAAGCCATTTTTAATTCTAATAGCCTATAGTATTAACCTCTGGAGTTCTTTTTGTTTCTTTTTGTTTTTAAATAAAGACTTATGTATGATTGTGGTTTTCCCATTATTTTAATTAAAGTAGAAAAAATTAAATATTCCATGCCCACAAAAGACTCTTCTGTCATTTATATGTTATCAGATATACTTTCGGGACAGGATAAACGTCCCATTTTCAAAAGTTACTTGGGCACCTGAGAGCCTAAATTCCATTGACTTTTAGTGGGTCTTAGGTTCCTAAGTGACTTCTGAAAGTGGAACTTACGCAGTTTTGAAAATTTCACCCACAGCTTAATTTCATTAAACCAACACATAGCTATTACTAGTGTGAGTTCAAAGCCCTGATGATCACTAAGTGCTTTATTATAAATGTTCCCAGTTTTTGGCCCTTCTGTTCAATCTGGAGGCACTTCAGCAACACAGAAGTTGAGCGTGTTTCCTTGAACCACAAGACCCTTCCCTTGACCTGGCCACAGAACTCCTTATTGACCTAAATCGGAGATGTGCGCACACACGGAGCAAAGGGAACCAAGGGCCCTAAATGTTTTGTTTTTAAGGAATGAGTTATTTGTATAGTTTCCACTTGTGCCCCAACTTCAGCCAAATACCATTCAACAAATACATTTGCAAATAATGTCTGTATTTCAGTGAGTGCAATGTTGAGTTTTATTGAGAAATATAAAACTAAACCACTGTAATTTGTTTTTAACATAGTTCATTTCTGACTTCAGAATGTGTAAGTTCATTTAGGTTAAATTCTACCAAGAAAAATGTAGCCTTTCAAAGAAACTTTACAAACTGAGATGAAGCCCAACAGTTTTCTTTTGTTTGCAATTTCCCTTCAGGTGACATGACTCTGCTCATCACTGCAGACTGGTTGCTAAGTACTAGTACACAGACCACTGCAGGTTTGTGTAGCCATGGTGAACACAGCAAAAATGTTAACATGCATTTTAAGATGATGTAAAAAAAAAATTTCTGAAAAGTATCTCATGCCCACTGTTTCCAGTCTAAGTTTAAGTTCATAAAAGCTGCAGTAGTAATTCGTACAATTGTGGTTACCCTCAGTGACAAATAATTAATTTAAGTCTGTGAAAGAAATATCAGATAATTCATTCTAGAATCAGATATGCACTTAGGGTCAAATTCTGTTCTCAAATACAGGAATAATTCCAACTGAATTTAGTGGGAGTAGCATAAGAGTCCAACGGCAGAATTTTCCCCTGAATCTGCCAGTGTATATTTCTTGCTCTGGGGAAAACTTTTTTTTTAACTGATGATCAAGCTTTAGAAAAACAAGATTAATGTAGCTTTTGTTTGTTTTTAAATTAAGCATAAACTAAAATTATATTTTCTTGCACACTCTGCTGAAGTAGGACCTGGTTTAAAATGAAATTACAGATTCTAGGGATGTACATTGTATATGGCTGCCAAATATTTCCCTTAAAATGCTACAGTATGACAAATGTGTGGTTTGCTTGTTTGTTGCATGTGGACTGGAAATGTGTTGCTGAACATTCACGTGTTAAATGTAATATGCAAAACTGACTGTTCAAGATGACTGTGGGCCTCATTCTCATTTAAACAAAGGACCCCTTTACATCACTCTGCTGCTTTAAAGGGGCCGTAATGTAAATGAGAATCATGGCCTCAGGTGTGTGCATTTTTGCATGTTATAAGTTTGTTATAAAGATACGTTAAGTTTCATTTCGCTATGGGTGTGAGTTGGGCAGAATTCCATACCCCAGAGTGCAAAATGTGTTCGGTAAATTAGGGGGAAAAAATCTGTCCCAAAGTGAAATGGCCCTGTTTCAAACACATGTTTTTTAATTCCTCTCAGACACGTTTTCAGACATGCCTCTTTTTGATGTTGTACTACAAGAGGATGTGGTTGCTAGATAGATGACTGTTATTAGCTCATATTTTTAGCTTCACACTTAGTAGTAAGCTTTCAAAGCACTGAATGGGGATTTAGTTGTGTGATTGAATCATACAGTTTAATCCTTGGTTTGATAATACACCCTTTAGCTTGCTTAATGACACTTGGTATGGCACCCACCTTTGTTGCAATGCAAAATGTGCCCTGGTACAAAGGTGCGCCGCACAGTCATAAGCAATTATGAACATCTTGTAACCATGGTTGCCAGTGCAGAAATTCCACTTTAGTAGCCATTTACCTGTTCTGAATAGGTTGGGTAAATTTTTCTACCCATCCAAAATAATTTCAAAGGAATTTTGATAAGTCTGACTTATTCTTGCTTCAGATGCCAATTTCTCTATGAGGTCTCTTAAATTATGGCAGTTTCCATAAATCAAAGCAATATTCATTTAAATTCATGTCAGATCATGAGACCGTCATTACGGCCTGTGTTGGTGTGTGGTGAAGAGGAAATAAAATTTGTTCATCATTTTAGGAAAAGCCAGTAATAATACAGTAATTTCTTACTGGTTCATTTGGTTTCTCCTATCCTAATATGCCAGCCCAGAGTGTAAATCCTCCTACCAGCAGATGGAGAGGGAACAGGGAAAAGGAGAGATCTTGTTATATACTTCTTTTATAAAAGGGGCTGGCTGTCTGGCTGATCCTGCTTAGTTGGAGACTTCCCAAGCAATAAATTTGAAAGTAACACTAAAAGGTTTGTTTGAAAATGTTTAGGAAAAAGTAATCTCAGATACCAAAACAGGAGAGGATATCTGTAATATTTGTACTTTATCCCATTACTGTAGTATCTGAGCGCCTCACAATCTCTTAATGTAATGATCTTTACCACACCCTTGTGAGGTGGGGAAGTACTATTATCACCATTTAACTGAGGTACGGAGTGACTAAATGATTTGATCAAGGTCACACAGGAAGTCTGTGGCAGATCAGGGAATTTAATTTGGGTCCACTGCTGTTACTGCTCTAGCCCCTTCGCTATTTTTCCTCTCACAGAAGGGCTGCCATGTCAGGACTGACACAAAGGGACTGGGAAATTTCAAATTAGCAGGTAAGAGATTACCATTCTTCAACTTTACTTTTTGCCAGCCAGCCAGTGGCATTTTCAGCAAGTGTCCAGCTTCTTAATGCAGGGGGTGGGTACAGAGAAAAGGCTTAGTTTAGCAAGCTGTCCTGCACAGAAGCCACCTTCTGAAGGAGCTTCCAAAAGTGGCTGCTACGTTAGATTCCTAATTCTACCAAGGGATAATCACTTCTAAACTAAGAATTAGAAATGACTCTCAGGGAATTAACCTAGGCAGAAACTGGAACCTCTGCCCACTTAAAGTGTCTTTATGCAGTATTAAACCCACCAAAAATAAACAGGGGATCTGTTTTTTCTAATTTACAGCATTCTCTTCATGTTGAGAGTCCTAGAGGTGCTTCTGTCTCATTTTGAGGGGCCAGATAGGAGGGAAGAGAGATTTCTAGTCCCAAATAGATGGGGGAAACAGATAACAAAAAATTAGGTTGAGATTTTCAAAGATTTCTAGTGGCACATTTAATTTCAAAGGCAATTGGATGTCAAAATCCCTTTAGGTGGCTTTGAAAATCTCAGCCTTAATCTGTAAAGTATCTGACTTGAAGGAGAACCAGGATGAGATGCCTCCACAAAGGCAATAAAAGCTCCCCACTGTCCTGGCCAGGCAGATAACCATTAGGTAGTGTTAAGGCTGTTGAATCTGAATCCTCCTTCACGGATTCAAAAGAAAGCACTGGGGCTGTTTGGCATGATCTTTAAAATACCATAGGGTGCAAGATGCTAGATATTAGACTGGTTGTATATTTAAAATAATAATAATAAAAACTTATCCCTTCTGGATGGCAATTTGCAGAGGAGAGCTGTACCTTATATTTCAAGATCCCATAGCTACTTCCTGGGCACTATGGAAGTTGACTTTCTTGCTTTAACCAGCTCATACTGAGGGAAGGCAAGATTGTTAACTATGGTGCATGTTCTCCAGACTCTGTAACACACATACAAGCAAAAGTCTGTATTAAAAAGGATTACATTTAAATGCATGTTTCATCACACGAAAGTATTACATTTTCTTTACAAATATTCTCTAACTTAAAAACAAAAACACTTAGTCTGGAAATAAATAGTTAAGAGATCTAGACGCTTCCCACTCTCATAATTCTTCTTTATTCACTTATTACTCCACCTGATTTACACTGTCCAATCAGCCTTTAGTTTACCTCTTTGTTTTGTTCTGTAATAGAAATATATGTTTGGATGCATACTGTTGATATTATATATTATTAATTAAATGTGTAGCTCTGTAAGGTGTCAGTGTGATGTGTTGGTGGAGTAGAGGAATATTTTAATCTACAGAAATGGAATAATTGATTTGTTTTGTATTATGAAATATGCTGAGCATATGGTGGAGCAGGTTTCTATTAGCATACAATATGTTGAGCTTGTGGGTTTGTGTTTTTAATAATATAGCATCTAGAGCAGCTTTTTTGCAGTGGCTAATGTTGTAGTCTAATTTTATAATATTTAGGAAATGGATCCCTTTAATAGGAAGTAGGATTTTTTAAATTTTAGTAATTTGGTATGTTAACCATTATACATAATCTTCTATATTATAGGGAGCAAAATTAAGGTTTAGTGGATGATGATAGTCAGAGAGATGAATGGTCAGTGATGAAGAATTCTTTGGCCGTGGGGGAGTGTCTGGTTCCATTTTTTGTTCATTTCCAGCTTCTACCACTTGAGTATTTTGAAGTTTCTAGATCTCATGATTGTGAAAAAAAGCTTGTAAAGGTTAAACAAGTCTAACTGATTCAAAGACATCCGCCTGTGCACATATAGTGCTTCTGTGGGAATTCTGCACCACTGCACATGTGCAGAATTTATGTCCCCCGCAGATTTCTTTGCTTCCCTGCAGAAAAACAACTTTCTGATGGGGAAGCAAAGGGAGGCCACAAGAGAGGTCATGTGACCCTCCCCAGCAGTATGTTTCAGGTGCCCAGGGCAGCCAGCAGAGAGGTAAATCACTGTGGGGCAGGGGATGAGACTGGAAAAGATCTAGCTCTCTACCCTGTGCCACGCTCAGCTGCTAGTTCTGGCTGGGCTGGGGAGAACAGGACTTCCTCTTCCCCTGCACGGCATCTGGGGCTGGGTCAGACCCACCCTGAGATTACTCCCCCAGCTGCAGGAAGCTCTGCAAACCCTCTCCCCCAACCCTGCTTCCTTCACCCATTGCTCCTCAGCTGCATTGGAAGGGATCCCTGTACAGGGAGCTGCTCCCCCATTCACCCAACCCCCGTGCATCCAGACCCCCTCATACCCAGACTTTCCCACTGATCCTGCCCCCGACGAGCCCCACTCCCCCGGACCACCCCGACGAGCCACCCAGATCCCCATCCCACCGAGCCCCAATCAGCTGCACCTGGATTCCCACCCCGCGGAGATCCCCTCCCCTAGCATCTGGACCCCCCCACTGAACCCTCCACACCCAGACCACCCTGACAAGCTCGATCCCCTCCACATCCAGATCCCCCCGCTGAGCCCCAACCACCTTCACCTGGACCCCCCTGCAGAGTCCCATTACCGTTGCACCCAAAAACCCCAGTAAGCCCCTGTGCATCCAGATCCCTCCCACACCCGGATCCCCCATTGAACCACCCACACCCAGATTGCCCCACACAGAACCCTCTCAACCCACATTTGGATCCCCCCACTCTAAGCCCCTCCACACTTGGATCCTGCCTTTCTGAGCCTGCCTGCCCCCACCTGGTGCACCTGCCAAAGAGGGGGGGGGGGGTTGCTTTTAGGGCAGGCCTAGTCCTTGCGCTGTGTCAGGGTTAGGAACAGCCTCACCATTGAATCTGTGTCCCGGGGTGGGAGGAGCTGCACAGTGATCTCCCACCTCTGTGCAGCCAGTGGCCTATGCTCCCCAATGCCATGCTGGAGCCTCCACA